TGTCTGTACAGTGAGTCCAGTAGGTCAACATTTAGCACTCTTATAGTCCAGTACTGGATGGATCACTTGGAAGTGGCTAATGAGGCTTCAATATCTATAATAACACCAGCTCAGTGATCACACATGGCAAACAACATTAATGATGAATTATTGCCCTTGCTACAACTGGCAGAAAGTTGTGAGATGAAACAAATCAAATCTTGCCTTCATACTTTAGTGATTCAACAAAGGAAGATTTAGGTTACTCCCTTAAGTAATTTTGAAAGATAGCTACTTGGAATTCCTGTAACCAGGATCAAATGTCACAGTATTTGCTTCTTAATCCTATGCACATGGTTAGGGTTAAAAATGTGCATACCTTGACCTCTTACAGATTGCCATTGTACATGGTATTATGTATATGATGTCAGAGTTATCAACTATTCATTTTACTCTATGCTGCTGAGTTAGTAACAGTTCATAATAAAAGAGAGTTAAAACCAGATATGGTATATATAGGAATACTGAAAAAAACAACAACAAAACTGTAGATTTGTATTTTGCAATATACAACTTATACAGTGGACAAAAGTACTGTTAGCTTTCACATGAACATCAACTTGCACTACAACTTGTCAGAGTCTGTCTCAGACTCATGTCATTGATTCACAGACATATCTTGAGTAAAAATACATTTGTAATACAGCTATGATACAATATAACCAGGGCTAAAGAAGAAAGGTCCACATTTCAAAAGTGCTATCATATTTTTAGGTTAAATTGCTTTCTTGAACCTATGTGCTTTTCTAACATCATGTTTGTAATGTAGCTGACTTTTTATGTATATGCCATATTTTATGTAGCTATATTTAGTAAATTCAGAATTATAGTCAACATTCTTTCTCTAGTACAGGATTGGTCCAATGGACAGAGCTCATGCACATTTGGTTAATTCAGATAGTCTAGCAATATGTGTTATGTTGTGAAGTTTTTGGAAACTAATGAGTGCTGCAGCAGGGAAACCATTCTAGAAGAGTTTATTCGGAACTTCAGAACTTTGATCTGATAGAGAATAAAACTATCAACTGGGTAGAATTTGATCATAAATGTGATTCCTATGAGAAGTTAACTGCATTTGTTGATGAGCAGCAACACCTATGCTATAAAGCATACCAGCAGCAAACTGAGAACACATTTTGTTTGGTAAATTTCTGTAGAAGCTTCATAGTATCCATGCAATACCATTTGGAAACTAAAGAAATTATTGTTAACTAAATGTTGTGTTGGTAGTAACAAAGTATGAAATTGTAACCTCAACCATGTTGGCAAAGCAAAAGAAACCTGTTGTGGCATGTGAAGTGGCTTTGTCAGAAACTCAGTTCAAAAACAAATGTTAACCCTACCTTATGCCACATTCACAGGTGCTCAATAGTGACTTGGTTCCTTTTGAATGGCTGCCAGTTAAGCAGCAGCTGTGCCAATGATCCAGATGAAGGAAATGTTCTGATATTCAGTGAGAGAAAGTACTAAAGGAGAAATGCTTGTTACACCTGTGGACAATTTTGTCATTGGTGGCACAGGTGTTATTTTTTTGTGCATGAACAGGAGTCCATATGTCCACCAAACAGACATTAAACTCAGGAGGGAAACAGGCTGTCAGGTCCACAATTCTGATATGATATCTTATCTCTTCTCACAAAATAGTTTTTCTTGACTAGCAATGTCCTCTATTGGCACAAATGTTTAATGCATGCCACTAGCCTTCCACTTCCTGCTTCTGCATATCAATATGCAAATGATCATGCAGCAGCTCTCCAACAATAAGAGTGTGATACCACTTCTGTCGTAAACAACACCCTCTTCACATCAGCACTCCTTAATCAATTCTCAGTTGGCAATTGTACTGTACAGACATGCTAGTTTTTGCTTGCAGATTTGATGACATTTTCTGTTATACTACTGACTTACTTTTTTTTCTTACTATTTATTTCAAGTTTTGCATTTTAGTATTGTGAAAATTTGCTTCTTTTTTTTTCCAAACTTTTCTTACTTTTTCAGAGGCCTTTTTGCTAGTGTATTGTGGATACCACTCTATGACAAGTGATACCTGATCTAGTATACTTTTGTTTTTAAATTCACACTGTCCATCTTGTGGCTATGCTTAATGTCATTTAGGTTGTAGTCCTTCCTACCGCAGACCTGATGTACAATTCTAGATGCTGCCAGATGTTGGTTGTGTGTCTCTATGATTAAACTATTACATCACAGGTTTGGGTTATGAATATCGTAGAGATGGGGTGTTCCATAGGACTGCTAATAGTTCTCTCTGGTGGTTTTTTGCTTCATAAATATGTTTGTCCCAGTTTGTACACTCTTGCACTAACATGAGCAAATCAGACAGAGATTGCTGCCCATCTCTGATGGCATTAAGACTCTTCCTATTGAGGACCTGATGTACAATTCCAGATTCTGCCAGGTTTTGATTGATCGACTCCATTGACATGGTAGCTCTGCTTTTCATAGTAGGGTATTGTGGTCTTCCATTGCACTGTCTCTGGTGATGTAGTCCTTCAGACTCTACAGCGGGTTTTTCTCCCCTTTCTACTAGTGGGGTATGGGAGTCCTTACCAGTTCCTAGCCTCTTGGGAAGTGAACCATGGAAGTCTGCCCTCCTAAGTGATTAATCATACCACTCAGTTTAGAGTAGGGCATTGGCATTCTGCAAGTGTCACTGGCGTATCGCATTTCCCACTGTGGACCAAATGTACAATTCCAGATGCCGCCAGGTTTGGGTTGAATCCCTCCACCATATCATGAATATATATATATATCATTGCAGTTTTTCCCTCCCTGCCATCCTCCAGATGTACTTTCCCTGTAGGTCTAGTGATGGTTGGAGAGGATTCAGCTAAGTAAGTCCTCACATGTGTGCTGGCAAGTATCCCTCAACCTACTGCAGACTGGATGACAAATGTCCACTGCCACTAGGTTTTGGACTAGAAATGCACCCCAGGTTTGCAGTCCCTCTTCCTACCATCTGCTGTATATTGGTTCCCAGTGGATTTGGTGTTGGTTGTATTGAAAATGCACTCAAGTGGAGACGGATTTTGGTAAGGTAGCTCATCTTACCTATCATTTCCCATTTCAAGGTGAAGAGCTAGGTGATCCTCTACCTACCATGGATCTGATGTACTGTTCTAGATTCTGCCAGGTGTTGGATGCGGTTGAAATACCACTATAGTCTGTTGTGCCTAGCCACTTAACACCCAGGAGTCCCATTCATTGATCATACATATTCTGGGATTCCTTCATGTTTTTCTGCCTTTTATAGTGAAGTGTATACCTGGATCAGATGTGGTGTATTCTTATGCTGAGGTTTTAATTTTTCCTCTTTTGGTTCCATGCCTCCTGGTCTCTCTTTGAGCACTTCCGAAAGGGAGATCATTTTTTCATTGGCCCTCCACCAGTTCAATGTGTGATTCTAACTACTTTGTGAGTGGAAGTAAGATATCACATGGGAAGTTAGCATTTTCCTGCACTGAAAATGTATTTCCTCTCACATTTCACACCCATCCTCCCCACTACTGATGATATATGGGTTAGGTCTTCTGACGAATCTTGAAGTGATTAATGAATGCAGATTTGAAGAGGAGTGGTGTCATGCTCCCATTAGTGGAGAGTTGCTGCATGCTCATTTGCATGTGGATATGTAGAAATGGGAGGTGGAAGGCTAGTGGTGTGCATTGACAATTTGCACCGATAGAAAACAGTGCTAGTCGAGAAAAGCTATTTTCTGAGAAGAGGTAAGTATCTATCGAAAATATATCTTCAATGTAGGAAAATGCTAACATTTAATCTAGCAAGCTCCAGATCAGATCTGGCCACTGATAGTGGAAAGGACATTGATGTTTCTGCTTCTGCAGAGTGACTGGTGATAGGTTTGCAGTAAATGGAAAAGCTTGACTCCCTATCATTGTTGTTGCAAGAGTTATTATGACAGGTCTTGGCTTGATTATCAGCATTTTATGTTTAGATGTCATATAGAAGTTATCTGTGAGTATAACCTGTACACCAGGTGAACTGCAGCTCTGTGGTGAAACCATAAAATGTCATCTTTGATGTATACAAAAGCAGCATACTGTATGAATATATGTAAATGATGATGCTATAGTTTCATCTAATACACAACTAATGTTTTATGATGTTACGTGAACACAATCATTGTACCCACTACTAGTAATGCTGTGGTTAAAGTGAAGCCTAAGACCCAATAATTTCTCTCCATAAATGTTCCATGCTTGCTCCAACAGTAATTTCTCAAAGAGAAAAATATTTAGAAATACTTTAAAAGAAATAAAAACGATGAAAAATATTGCTGGCAGAATTTCATCAGTTGTGCAGCTCTGAGTCCTCTGTTCACTTATTAACTTTTTCTCCAAGATTTTGTGAATCAGAAGTTTTCTAGTTACCCAACTATGTCAGTGGCATAGGAAAATAGCGACCTGGGCCTTCCGCTTTTTAATCTGTTCTAGTAAAAATACATTAAAATTAGGAGAATTACTCTCAGGAAAATACAAAAAATTCAATCCAGAACCCAAGAGCTTCCAAGGCCCTAAGGCAAGCCCTGGCCTTCTGCCATAATGGGTGCACATATGGAGCACATTCCCTTGCTTTGGTCAGTCAAATAAACCTTTTAATTTGCCTCTTGTACCTCTGTATGCACAAAGCTAATTTCTTTGTAGATTATTACAATATTTTGTTATTTAAATTTCTTTCCCATTTGGAAAGAAGGTGAATTGGGAGGTAAAAATATAACTATTACAAAACCATAGTTGTCAATAAGAAGAACATGTTCTCACAAGGTTTGTACATTGTTTCTCCTCTGTAGTTCAAATCTTCCCAAATGAAGGAGTGATACATTTTATTTTACGATTTAGAAAACACCCTTAAATAATCTTATGGTAGATGGTAAATTACAATAAAAACACCTAAAATGACATTATCTTATGATATTAATGCAGGTCTTGCTCAGTCAGGCTCTTGGGGTTGTTTTGATGAATTCAACCGCATTGAACTTCCAGTGCTGTCTGTAGCTGCCCAGCAGATTCATATTGTTCTTTCTGCAAGAAAAGAAAGAAAAAAACAGTTTATTTTCTCTGATGGTGATGAAGTGAACTTAAACCCAGAATTTGGACTTTTTATTACAATGGTGAGCATTATGTAGGAAAATAACTCCTTTCTACAAAGAAGTTATGAAATAGGAATGACTTTTTAATGTTAAATATAATGTTATTACTTTCTCTGTAAATATCTTCCAATTTTACAGTAATATAACATGTTGAATAAATATATTAAAATTAAATTGACATATTTTATAAATATGATTCATATTAGTTTATGAGAAACAAATACTTGTACACTTTCATGTTTATCACTGTTTTTTTTTAATTTAATATTCTTGATAATGCTCATTTCATAGAAGTTTTTCAATAGCTAATAATACAAAATTATCTTTACCATACTAAATTAGTTTGAAACATTTTTTTTGTCTTGTATGGTGTGCATTATCATTAGTATATAGCTAGTGCTCTATAGTACACAAACCATTTGATTTTAATGTTTCATCAACCTTGTCAGGGGCTGGATTCATTACAGTAGGTATCTGTGACTTGTTAGCGATAAATTTTAACAAAAAATGGACAGCATACAATTTACTTGTTTTAAAATAATATACTCAAAACAAGCCAAACATATGTACAAAAATTCGTTACACTATTGGTTATCATAATTGTCAGAGGTTTAAATAATTCTCTTTTTGTCATCAAAGTCCACACAAATGGGTTTAATCACTTCAGAACACCTTTGACAAAACAAATTATTCTTCCCTACTCTGTTATTGCAATACAATCTGTGATAATTTTACCTTAGTAATTGCTGATAAATTCACAATTACTCAGTCTAGATTTGTCTTACTATCTCTCTCAGTAACTTGTTTCTTTCACTTTTCAATAACTTAGCTTTCTTCCTTGGACGCGTATTTATATCTAACCCGACTGAATGCCTAGAACTTTCTACACACTACGAGATGTTATGATGTAAGAATACTCAATGAAACAATGAGAAAATCTTAGAAGGTTTTAGTAACATGACAGAACAATATATCAATCACCCACTAGTTAATTACACTATGTATGATTTGTACACAGTTACATAAAGAAACCCGAGATAAATTATTGTTTCTAAAAATACTAAATTTAACACTCACACTTTACAACTATCTAAGTCATAACTCTCATATTGTATTTTAAAGAAACAGTTGTGTATATCTAACTAACCTATGGTTTTCAAATTGTGCTTTGAAAAAACCTTTTATGCTTACAGAATCCAGGTTATGCAGGTAGACAGGAGCTTCCTGAAAACTTAAAGGTTCAATTCCGAAGTGTAGCTATGATGGTTCCAGACAGACAAGTATATTTCACTTCTGTGTTCTTTAAATAATGCTACATATTTATGCAAAATCTAATTATTTAGTAGAAATAATTTATTTTCTTAAAATAAAATAAATTTTACTTAAAATAAATTAAATTGCATTCATTTATTTTACTCTATTTTACTTTTAATGTTTTCAATACATAGATAAAACGTACACAAACAGTAAAAATGTCATTTTGCATTTAAAAGATAAAAAGGAAAATGTCATTTATACTAGATGTAAGACTTATATATATCAAAATGTGATTAAATCTTGTAAATTGTTTAAGTTTTAAAATGTATTTTTTGATCAAATTCATACTTAATTATAAAAGACTACTGATATTGCTTTTTTACACCTAGTTAAAGAAAAGTTCTTAATAAAGTGAAAATATTCTGTAAAGTCAAATCATTTTTGTTATGTTTCTAGATCATCATGAGGGTAAAACTTGCTAGCTGTGGTTTCCAAGAAAATGCTATTTTAGCTCAGAAATTTTACACTCTGTACAAATTGTGTGAGGAGCAACTTACTAGACAGGTATAAAGGTTCTATATTTAACCAAGCTCAATTTATTTTAGCTTTTCTCATGATAAAATGTCTGTTTTTATTTGTAAGTTTCTTCTTTGGAGAAAAACACTTAAAATAATAAATTTTATTTTATCTACTAAAATAAATGCCAAAATTTTCATACAATTCTATAAACTTTGTATAGCTCTTTGGAAATTTTTCAAATTATTGGAGAATAATTTAGTTTCATAAGTAAACTTGTCAGCTAAATTATCTCCTGTTTTGATATGTGAAAAGATAATGATACAAATATATTTTTAAATATGTGTTACTATGTATGAAAAAAGAAACTTTACAGAACCATTAAATACCTTCAAAATAACTTATCTTCAAACAAACTGCTACTCAATGAGGATACTTTTGATTTGTTGTTTTCAACTCAAGGAACTGTCATTAAAGCCTGCACAGAAAGAATTGTTATCAGGTATTTACTGTATTCGCAACTTACCTGATCTGTCAATACTAAAAATATATTGAAATACTTTGATAAAAAATTAATAATTAAGTTCTATAAAATCTAAGAATGTGTACAAATCACAGATTAAACAAAATCTAAAGTTATATTTACGATGAATTGTTATAAAATTTAAAAAATTGGTCAGATTGTTACTTTTATTCTTCAAAAATCTAAAATTGTTAATATTTTTTTACTTCAAATTTTGAATTCCATAACCTTATTTTCATATACAATTTTTTTTTAATATGAAAGCCTGTAATACCATTTGTAGTAGCAAGTACAATTCACAGAAAGTTCTGTTTCATATGAAGTTCTGAGCACATTACTGTAATTATTTTTTTTCTGGTAGGTTCATTATGATTTTGGACTTCGTAATATATTATCTGTATTGAGAACTTTAGGAGCAGAAAAACGTTCCCGACCACATGAAAGTGAATGGATGATTGTTATGAGAGTTCTTCGAGATATGAACATATCAAAACTGGTGTTCATATCTCGATGAACTCTCATAACAATCATCCATTCACTTTGTAACAAAAACAATCTTGTATCAAAACTGGTAAGATTGTTTTTGTTACAAAGTGAATGGATGATTGTTATGAGGGTTCTTCGAGATATGAACATATCAAAACTGGTAAGATTGTTTTTGTTACAAACTGAATGGATGATTGTAATGAGAGTTTTTGAAAATATGAACATATCAAAACTGGCAAGATTGTTTTTGTTACATGATTTTTGTTTTTGCTGCTGTGTTTACGTTTGAAACGTTTTAGTTAATATTTCATAAACAGAACTTATTTTTCACACACACATATATGTGCAACACTAAATACACTAAACTATAGTTACAGTAAAGTACTTTTTCATTTATATTTTATACATAATTTAAATAATTTAGTCAAAGATGTTTTTTATTTATTTATTTTTCATTTTTATTGATTTGTGGCCCTCTTTTAATAAAATGGAAAATTCTGATAGCACAGGAATTATTATAATAAACAGTGTTGTGATTTCTTATGTTGACCGCATGAGATGAATAATAATACAGAGTGTGACATATTTGTACCCTGATGTTTCTGTTTAGTTTTTCTGGACATTAACATATTAGTATTTCCTGCTATAAAGTGGCAAAACAATAAACTATCTTCTGGTATAATATTAATGTTTCTTTTGACTCAAATATTTATATATGAATGATAGTGTAAAATGAGAGATACATCAGCTTTAACTTAAAAATTGTTTACTTTTAAAACACAATTTCAAAGGGAGTTTTGGAAGCTTTGTATGTGCTTTAGATGTGTAAACATAAATCTAAGAAAATTACTTAATTCTTAAATATAGTAATATGTTTTGATATTACACCACAATAAGAATGAAAATAATTTAACTTAAATACTGTTTTACTAGATCACTACAGACTTCCAGCAAGAGAGTGGAATAAGAATATTTCAACTAGTGATGTTAATTTTGCAGAAGATTTTACACTAATTTCTTTTTTTTAGTTAATTTTCTTAATGATATTTAAGAGGCAAGCATTCAAGATATAGGATGATTTCAAAGTTATATCCAGGAAAATTTGGAGATAGTACAGTGTGCCTACTAGATAACAAAGACAATGTTTTTTGTCATGATGTGCTGTAACTTAAAAAAAAAATTTCTTACTTGTATGTTTTTTTACATAGGTGGATGAAGATGAACCTTTGTTCTTAAGTCTGATTAGTGACCTGTTTCCTGGCATTGAACTGGACAGTGCCACTTATCCAGAGCTCCAGACTGCTATTGCAAACCAAGTAGAAGCTACAGGTCTTATTAATCATCCATCATGGAACTTGAAAGTAGTTCAGGTACTCATGTTGCATTGCATTTTTTGTTGGTTTTTTTGTAGTTTTTAGGGCTGGATGAAAGTATATTTTTAATGTCTTCTTTTGTTTCAAAAGAAGTTGGCATGTATGAAATATGTTAAAGTTAGCAGCAAGGTATTTGAAACACAGTGTTGCTCTTTTTTATTAATTGTTATTGTGAGATTTCTATGTAGGCCTTTAATAAAAATCATAAACTTCAATGTTTTTTTCACATTCCTCTCAATTTGTCCATTTTGGATTCAGAATTAGAGGCATTTATAAATTGCGTTTAAGATTTATCTTTTGTTTCCCCCTCACTTGGGCTAGACAATGAGAGACAAAAGATCCTCTGAAATGCTATTACGATGATCCAGTTCTGTAACATGATGACTAGGTTGTCTACAGTAACCTTGATTATCCCAATAAAGAAACATTGAGTAATCCCAAACAGACATTAAGGCAAGTTACACTGGACAAGAGATATTAACATGCTGAGCAGTAAATCCAATCAGGCACTGGTAGATTGCCACCTACAGTGAAGTATTTGTATGCCACAACTCAGCATGCATTGGTGTCAAATGCTTATAACAACTAACATAACATTTTGTCAAAACCATTTAGCAATAAACACCTTGTACATACAACACCATGTGACTGTTGACTTATATCGTTATTTGTAGTTTATGGTTAGACAAAATGTAAGTAGGCAACTCGTAAGATAATATTAAGTTAAATGTATGTAATGTAATATATATATGTATGTAATGATATAGTAACATATTTATTTTAATGATTTAGCACCTGCCTCTGAAGGAATAAATAATGCTAAGTTAATTCCTAACTCTGTATATATATATTCAGAAACCACTAGGCCTAAAATTTGAGATAAAAATCACATAAGCAGCAGTTGTGTTTTTTACTTACATTTTCCACTTCAGATTCATGAGAAATAACCACACGAGTTCTAGAAATGCATAACTCACAAACTGTCTTTGCTAAACTGAAGCACAAAAGATCTGTATTGTTGTGTATCTGCTTGTTTGTTAATTTCTAGTACAAATTCTTTCCCAGGAACTTCAGCAATACAAGTCATTTCTTGATTAAATCAGTTTATTCTTTCTCGATACAAACTTTTAGTACACAGAAAGTCCACAGTCAGTGCCAACCGCATTTTATTCGAAAAGTCACGTCTGAGAGACGATCCACTATGTCATATGGGCCTTCCCATAGAGAAGACAACTAAGGAGACTTCCCTTTGGTCTTCCTGGGAGTATACAACCACACCTTGTCTCTTGGCACAAATCTGACATCAGTAGATTTCTTATCATAACATAGCTTCATGGAATCAGCTTGTCTCCTGGTACAAATCTGACTTCAGTAGATTTCTTATCATCACATAGCTTCATGGAAGCAGCAGACGTTTTTAAGTTTGAACGTACTTGATGGTGAATATCATCCATCGTTTCAGATAACACTTTCACGAACTCTGACACATTCTCAGGCAACTCTTCATAAGGTGGGCATCCTGTTAACAGATCCAATGGCAACCGAAGTTCCCGACCAAACATCAACTTTGCTGGAGTGTATCCAGTGGTTTCATGCTCTGCTGTCCTATAGGCCATCAACAGTGGAGGGAGTAAGACATCCTAGTCATCTTGGCAGCTATTACAAAACTTTGCCAATTCCTGTCCCAGTGTCCAATTGTACTTTTCTACCATCCCACCATTCTTCCACATCTTGCCTCATACCTATCCAGTAAAATCTGTGGTGTAGGTGACTCAATGTCTTCTTCACTCCAAGATGTCATCCTGTTAAACTATCATGGGATTGATGCAGCACAACTTCCCATAACTTTCTCGGTATAACTGTTTGCCAGGTTGTCACTTTTTCATCTGCAGTTTCCCATCTCCGGACAAGAATACCATCTTCAAGCTTCAACTGGTTCCATTGTGCCCAATAGTTCTTTGTCACAGAGCTTAAGCTAGACACCTTTTCCCAAGCAGGGTGCAAAACACTTGCTTTTAAAAAATCAATTATTGGCTTCAAATCTTGGTCTTTCTCCTGTTCTGCTTTGAAATCTATACTTGGTTCTACTTCACCATCATCAACTCCTACAGTCACTTTGACTTCAGCTTGATGACACCTGGTTAGTTCAACCTCTCTTTTGCAGTCATTTTTGCAGGGTCTTTGGCTCAGTCCATCGGCATTACCATGAGATTTTCCTTCTCTATATTCAATATCATAACTGTATTGGTCTATCTTTCCAATCCAATGTGCCAGTTGTCCCTCTGCATTCTTTAATGATCTTAACCAGCATAAT